CAGTATCTAGTGTGGATTATTGTCTATTTTGGCATACAACTATAGTAAAGCTTGGTTTTTAACCTGTCTTTCACTGAACTATTAAAATGTTGAACTGTAATAAATAATTTTGTGGGTTTTGTTTGTTATATCATAATAAGTTGCCTTTCAAAGTTAGCTATTACATAGTTCCTGATGTTTTTCCAGCTATGTTGGTTTACTCTTCTGACATTTACTGATTGTTGGGTTTTTTACAATCAGAGTAAAAAGGTTATTTTTGTCAAGCAAGTAACTGTATTCTTTGGACACCTTTCTTTGGTGTTTGAACACCACAGTAACATTAATACATACTGAAGTTAGTGTACTACTAAAAGGACATACACTGTGTCTTAGAACCTTGCATTTAGACATAAATTGAGTTTCTGTTGCACATTTGATTACTCATTTTGTCTTAGGGAATTCCTAAGTCATTGCAGTTTTTTTGCATTGCAAGTAGATACTTTTGGTCATCCTTTTTGTACATCTTTCAAGGCAGAACTGAAATATGGCAATACATTGAGCATTAACAATTACTGTCTTTTCAGGATTTTTTATTATCCTTGTTTTGATCTAATTTTTTGTTTTAAATGGTTGGAAGCATTTCTGCTAATGTTGTAAGCAGCCATAAGCAAACAGAAGGCTGCACACCTCAGAGTAGTAGGAATTTCTTACTGGTTTACATGTTATTATCACTTTGTATGTGGTAGCAAATGATATCAAAGAGTTCATGTTCGCTAAGAAACAAATTAACTTATTTTTAGTTTTCAGTGGAAACCGGACCTTTATTTATGTAGCTTATTCTGGTTTCTTTTCATTTTTTGGACAAAAATTATACATTGAGTTTTTAAATTTATAACTCTCTTGCATTTGAATTATACAGAACCTCCAAATTTTTTTTGAAAAATTCACTTTCAGTTCAAAATGACTTGGTTCGAATAGCTTCTAAAATAATTACATGTAAGAATGTGCATAATTTAACTTTTGTCTTGAATTTAAGTAGGGTTAAACTTACTTCAATTTTATGTCTTTCTTGTTGACACAGTCTCTGTATTTTACTTCTTTGAAGATAATGTTCAAAGAAGAGGATTTAGATTGATAAAGGAGGTCTACAAGAAAGCTTTATGAATGTTGTTCAGAATACTTTGAAAATTAAATATCACTTTCTTCACATGGTGGTATATCTTTTCTTTTGGAAAAGCTTTATTAATAAAAAGTTGAAAATAAATGTGAAAATATACTCGGGAAGATTTATTGTGTAAAAGTGTTTATCTACCTGCACAGTTTAGTTCTTGAAAGGTGCTTAAAAGGTCCTGAGGACACAGAATTTCTTCTCTTAATATGGTGATGTGTATTTCAAAGCTTTCCAAGGACGACTGGAGCTTTTTGCAAACCAACTGGAATTGCATAGGGCCCATAAAAACGTGGAGATGCCTAAATTCCTTTTAGTATTCTGAGCCTTTTCCATGGTTATCTGTAAGATTTGATTGGAAAAATAAAAATACACTGCAAGATAGTTGTATTTCATTGTTATGTACAGAGGGCCTTTGTAATTAAAAATAACATTATTCTAATATCTAAAAATATTTTTAAACAGTGAGGGTGAGTGATAATACTATTACTTTTGGAAAAAAAAGGTTTTAAAAGGTTATTTAGTATTGTGCATAATATCCTGGAATTTTTTTTAGCAATATTAATAACACAGTTTTAATTAAATGTTTTCATGCTGCTGTTAAACTGACCTTGAAGTATGTATTTTAAAAATTTTTGTGTCTTGTCTCAATATCCGTTTATCGTTAAGTGAAAAATGCATAAGATTTCCGTGTTAGAAACTTTACATCCTAGGTTTTAGAACATCAAAATATCTATAGTCATACTGTAAACGGAAAGGTTTTTTTTAGCACAGTGGACTGTGATTTGTTTGTTTGTTTGCTCTTTGTTTTAACAGTTCTATTTCTTCAACATGATATGAAAGTTTAAAGTACTGTGAAGCATTTCAGGTTTTAAAAGATGGATTCTGAGGGCTGCGTGTCTTGGGTATTTTCAGTGCTTTGCCCACTTTAAAAAAAAAAAAATAAAATCTTTTCCATGCTTGTTTATATGCATTGCTCATTTACTAGCTTTCTTTCATAGTTTTTAATATTTAAGCTTTTTTTTCTAATTTGTAATTTTCATATTTTTTAAAGGTCGCCAGGTGCATCCAATTTTTCAACTTTACCAAAGATCTCTCCATCTCTATCAAATAATTATAATAACATGAACAACAGAAAGTAAGCAATATACCTTAAAATATTATTTAATTTAATCGCCCTGGTGTGACATAAATAAATATTGATGTTTTATAACTCTTGGCTTAAAGATTTTGATTTGGTTTGTGATATTTGGATTGTGAATTGTTACTGGTCACTATTTCATAGCATAGGTATTATAAAGCATGATATCAGGAAATGAAATGCAGTTAAAGATGTTTGGTAACTCTTAGTCGTTAGTAGAATAGACTCCAAATAAATGTTGAGCACTGTAAGAAAATATATAAAAACTTCATTTAGAGTTTATCATGCTGAAAATAGATTAGTGTTACTGTTATCCTGCCTGAATTTAGATGGACAGCAAAAAAAGTATAAACTACTTACATTCATGGTGGTCAGGTTTTCCCTTATTTATTGATGCTAAGGTATTACAGCAGCATATGTGATATCACACATTGATTTGATACCACTACAGCTGAAATATTTTAGCTATAATGGTTGTCATAGTAATTATAGTCACTGATTAATTATCAGCATCTCAACTTCTTGTCTTATTGCTAGAAGATCTGAGAGGGATCAGTCTGATAGATGTGCTTTAATATTACAATTAGAGACTTAGTAAAAGAGGCTTCTTGCTTTTAAGGGTTTTTGTCCTTTAAAATCCAAATCATAAGTTTAATAGAAAGTGTGATAAACCTCTAAAAGAAGAGCTTTCATATTCCAGTGGCCAACTTTGTGTGTAATCTTTTTTTGTTGTACACAACTGTAAAAAAGTTGGTGAATATAGAAAAACATGGAATTATTTCGCTTTAACAGATAATGGAGCATCTTTCAATGCTTGAAACCAGAGAGCACTCATCTTTAATGCAAGCTGGGGGAAATTGAAGAGGCTTATTCTTACAGTTCATTCAAATTTAAAATATTTTTCCAAACATGCATTTTGTGATCAAACATGAAGATGTTAAATATTAAAAAGGTGACATAACTATTAAATATCTTATGCAATATCTTCTAGTTAAATACTGCATTTATCAGAAGTGATTTTTTCCTAAGGGTGCAGTGTCACTTGTGCCTCTACCGATTGTGAGTAGCCCCAACTCTCACTGTTAAAACAGTTGAAATCCATGTATTTAACTGCAGTCTATTGTACACTGTATGTGAATGTGTAGTAAATAAAGAGTATCTGTAAATTGTATCTGATTGTGTGAAAAATTACTTGACAAGAGCTGAGCCTCCAGCTGAGAAATAATCTCTCCTTCCCCCATTGCTCATACAAAAGACGGTTGTTATGCCAAAAACCTAAGCTTAACAGTCGCTTCTTCCTAGGGAGCCACCATTTTAAATCAAGCCAGCAGGGCTTGCTTCTTTTTTTATTTTTTTCCTTTTTTTAATTTTTTCTTTGTTTGTTTTGGTTTTTTTAAATGTTAGCTTCTCCTTCTAGTGATGCAGTAGTTATTTTTAGGAAGCACTTATGAAACCTGTTGCCAGCTCTTGCAGCTTTTAAAGATAGTTTCTTCACTTGCTATAGCTGATTTTATTTTTACTTCTTGGTTTATTTTGGAGCCTAAATGGGAGTTTTTAGATTTTAAATTAAAATTCTGGGGTTGTTTTTATTTGCTTTTTTAATTTGAGTATTTTTAACAGAAATAGTGTTTAAAAGGAAGTGACATAAAATTCAGATTTGGTGAGGAACTGGTTCTTTAAAGTGCCTTAACTATAATTTAAACATCTATAAATCAGATAGTAGGTATGTGTTCTCTATAATGTCATGAAATACCAGCCATTTTAATCTTGTAACTCAAAAACACTGTATATCTGGGTGTTATGTAAGGCAGATATTTGGTGCAGAACAATATGGTTTTGCTTTCAATGCAATAATCCAGTTATGATGAGTTTAAAATAAATATTTTTTAAAATCACAAATTTATAATTCACAAATAAATCTTTGGCAGCACTTCTGTCAGAATACATGTTCAAGATGAACTAGTTCAGTGACAGAGAACTCACATCCATTAATACACTAGGTACTTTAAAGTACATATTGTTGCATTAAGAATTTTCGGCTTCAAAAGGTAGATGGAAAGTTATATCTCTGTATTTAATTGGACTATATCATTCTGGGTTAAAATCAGTTTCTTCCTATGTTGTACTCTTCTCGCAAATATCTCCTTGTCTAAGAAAGCATTTATTTTCCCTTAATTAATGTTATCGTATTTTCATTACTTTGGTAGTTAACTACTTAATGTGAGCTTTGCCTGGAATTTATTATCATGTTACTGCCGTATTGTCTTTTGCATTGCACATTTTCTTCAGTACAATAGTGAAATTATACATTTGTGGCTTTCCAGGGTCCATTGCCACCTCTATATGGACATGAGACGCTGTGACTCTAAAAGAAATACATTTATTGTGAAGATAGTTTTAGCTGACAAAGCTGATTTGTAAGGCAGAAAATGCAAACAACAAGTTGTGTGTACCAACAGTCATAAACGCTAGTCATTGCAAGCCTGTTTTTGCAATTATTATAGCTCAGCTATGGAGTACGAATTAGTTATAACACTGGAAAGCATCATGCTTCTCTATAGGGTACACATTTCAGTAATGCTTGTCTAATACAGGAAGTGTTCTGACTAATAGTAAGCCTCAAATTGGTAAATATGTAATTGTTTGTTTAGCTGGTCATACACTAAATAATAGAAATAGCTTGTGCAAATTTTATCAGATCCAAAGCCTTCATTTCTGTACATGTGAGTTTGCATTTGATGGAATGAAGGATTCCAAATAATTGATCATTGATGTTCTTTTGCCTTTACAGGTGATCTTGTTGAAAGAATAACATAGGAGGATTAGAATATTATGTGTTAGTGGATTCAGAAGAGCAGGGAGAGACACGCATCATTTAGGTCTTTCTGGAATTTCTGTTTATTGCTGTTGAAAAGCAATACATCTCATGTCACATGGTATTTTTTAAATTATGGGGGGAGGGGATTAAAAACAGTTGAACAGGGATTTTGCTTGGTGAATTAAGTGAAAAGTTGCTTTGTTTTCTTCATTTCTAATCAGTGTTTCAGGTTCCTAAAATTAATTGCTTCATCATTCAGTAGTGTCAGCTTGTCAGGAGGACAGCTGGCAGCTTTGTTCATGCGCTTGTATATTTCAATATGCTTATTTTGGGAAGTATAAATGTTAATTACATCACCTGTAGAAAGAGTTTATTCATGTTGCACCTGACACATAGGCAAATACTGTGTGGAAGGTGATTTTTTTAAACTTTATTTAAATAGATTATAAAGTTATCTTTTGCACTCCAGACAATGATCATGAACAATAACTAAGACAATAGTCTTTGTGTAGTGACATGGGTCTCTCCTGCTGCTTCAGGCATCTTTGGCCAATGCAAGCCTCATGAAATTTAACAAGACCAAGTACGAGGTCCTGCACATGGGTCGAGGCAATC